TGTCGTGGGCAGCTTGCCACCTTTTGTTCCTGGTCTCATGTTATGCAGTGGTGGCTGAGCTCACAGTTCTGACCTGTCAGGTGCCTGGTATTGGTTACTGTGTTTTGGCAAGGCCATAGGAGCCTCTATGGAAGCCCACAAATCTGGATTTAAAAAAACTGCTAACTCTTAGTGACCTCATTCACAAATGGGGATAATAAGTATGTCCATCTCTTGAACTGTTATGGTTACCATACTATAGGAAACTGTGCTACATGAGCAGTAAGCGCCTGGTAGAATCTTCTTAGAATTACACCTGCGAAATATATGAAATCTGTTCTTTTATATTAATACAACCTGGGGGGGGGTAGCAGCACAATGGCTCAGTTGGCTAATCCTCCCCTTGTAAGTGCTGGGATCCCATATGGGCACCGGTTTGTGTCTCACCTGTTCCACTTCCCATTCAGCTGCCTACTTGTGGCCTGGGGAAGCATTGGGACCCTGCACCCATGAAGATACCTGGAAGAAGCTCCTGGCTCCTGGCTTCGTATCTGCTCAGCTCCAGCCATTGCGGCCATTTGAGTAGTGAACCACTGGGTGGAAGATATTTTTCTGTCTCTGCTTCCCTCTGTAAATCTGCCTTTGTAATAAAAATAAATCTTAAAAAAAAATACATATTTTTCTTTAGAGGTAGGCACACTAGCAGTCACTTAGGGAATATTCCCTCCTGGCCCAGTTTCTGTGGCCACAATTTTGCACTTGCACAGATTGCTGCAGCCCTTTGTCAGCTAAGGTTAAAACTCCAAAATATAGCAGCCAGCACCAATGGCCAACAGGCTGAAACAGTCAATTCAAGCCACCTAACAACTTGTTTTGGGAGGAGTGGCCATCATTTCGTTGCAGGGAACTAGGGAGGAAAAGAGACAACCAATGTAATCCCTAGAGGACTGAACAGGTGTAGCTGAAGGTAAGGGTTGGGAATGCCCACTGCAGGGAGGGGGCGGGCAAGGGCAGAGACTTCCATGTGGCCAGAGGAGGCGAAGAGTCACCTACTTGAATGAACACCACATGTCGGGTGGAGAAAAAGTGAGGTCTGTAAAGCAGCCACAGAGGTTGTAGTGAGACCTCCTCTCAGTAGAGCGCAAATTCCTGACCTTGACAGTGCTGAGGATCTGGAGGATGGCTAGAGCCAGCATATTGGTGGTTGTGGGATTTGAACCCAGGTTCATGTGCTTCCACAGCTCTTCATTAGTACGCTACAAACATCTGAGCCATCAGTAGGCCCTCAGTGAATGTTTAATGAAGGAATGTGTGCCGTTGCCTCTTTCTGGAAAGTTCCTTTGTCCCATCTCTACCCATGTCTATCCCTCAAGGCCCTGCTCAAATACAGTCTTACACCTCCCCCCACTACACTGCCCAATGGAGGTGCCTTGTCTAAGATGCTATGGGCGGCAAGAGTGACCACAGGAGGCGAGCCGTGCTGGGATGGGGAAGTGTGTTGGGGCACTGGGCTGGGTCATGCTAGCTGCAGCTAAAAGGACTGTGTTGTGCCCAGAGATTTTTCTGCTCAGCCTGTGCCCTGCAGGTGAAGTTGCTAAAAGAGCAGGATAAAGGACTGAAAGCAACTTGCACTGGGCTCCGATTAGTTAGAGCCCTGAATTCTGGTCACTTAGCAACCACACATGCACAGGCAGGACAGGGGAGCCATTTCAGGACAGGGAAGGCAGTGTCCGCCCAGTACTCAGCAGCACCTGTGCAGCCAGGGGGAGGTGTGAAGAGCTCCTTCTAAGTTAAGAACTGCGCCCAGGGCTTTCGGGGGGGGCTTAAAGCCCTGGGGATTTAGGGATTTGTAATTCTATGCTATATAATACCTTAAAACCAAGGATATTAGGATTCCAAGGATTTCAAATTCCTCTAACCTATGGCATAAAGACTTGAATATTTTTTGAGCTATGAAATGCTCGAAGCTTAAGGGCCCCAAATAAGGATTTTCAATGGAACGCTGGACATGTTAAATTACTAATTAATCCTTGCACAACTTCAAGTCCATCTGACTTTAACCCTTGCTAAGGAGTGTCCAAACTGTCTCCTCGACAATCTGAGGATCCATGCAGGTGACTGGCACCTATGGGGTGGAGCCAGTTGCTTCACAAGTGGTAAGATATCAGGGCAGAAGTTCACCACTAACAACCCTGCCCCCCGTGTTGGCCACTACGTGGGCAGCTTCATTATTATTTGATTTATATGTTGGGTTTTTGTATTTTATTCAAAACAACTACTTTTCGGCTTAAGCCTAAAATGTCTTTAAAAGCCTCTTTCTTAGGAAAGAGGAACCTGAACCCATTGGCCCTTGGAAAGTAGAATGCTCTGGAGCAGCCTCAGAGCAGGTCTTTATTTGTTTTGCAAAACCTTGTTTGTTTGTTTGTAGGAGATTTCTTCACTATCAAACCATCAAATGGTGCCGGCGGATTAGATGGAGATGACCCACAAAGAAGTCATGACTTGAGTAAAGCAGTCACTATCTGATTATATTATGTAAGCTCCTTTAAAGATCTATTTGTATCTTTTTGAAAGGCAGAGTTACAGAGAGGAGATGGAGGTACAAATAGAGAAGTAGAGATCATTCATCTGCTGGTTCAGTGCCAAAATGGCCACAACTGCTAGAGCTGGGCCAGGTGAAAGGCAGAAGATTCTTTTGGGTCTCTCACATGGGTACAGGGTCCCAAAGACTTGAATCATTCTCCACTTTTTCCCCAGGCCATTAGCAGGGAGCTTGGTCAGAAGTGATACGGCCACTTCTGGGAACTGGCACCCATACGGGATGCTGGCACTACAAGTGGGGAATTAGCCTACTACACCGTGATGCCAGCCCCAGCCCATTTTTTTTTTATCAAGTCACTATGAGGAGCAAATGCAGCGATTATGACAAGACTACTATTACCACATAGTCAGCGCTTGCGCTTGTCAGGAATGTGCTGAGTGCTCTACCTGTACTATCTCATTTAAAACCTCACAATAACCATGAAAGGAAGTCTCAGTACTGATCCTCATTTTACATCGGACGAGACTAAGGCTTAGCATGGATTGGTAACTCACTCAAGATCACCTAGTGAGTACATGGAGGATTCCGCTTTCCTCACACTCAGAAGCAAAAATGACCAAATTAAAGTAGTCAGAGGTCCTGTCTGGCCAGCTTAATTAAGGCGCAGATTGAATTTTCACCAGTAGATGGCACCAATGCTTGAGTTTAATGGCTTGCTCAGGCTGCAAGGAATTCAAGGAAGACACCATAAGGACTCAGATCAGAAGCAGTGTCTCAAGTTGCAGGAGATGGCGCGCGGGGGCGGGGGGGGGGCGATAGCTGTTGTTTTGCCACCCCCCGGATCTGTGGATGTTGCCCTACCCTCACTGTAGCTAAGCAAGGACACTGGGAAGCCAGCAAGTGAGGCAGAAGACCTGAGAATCTCTTTTGGGGTGGAGGAGATTTATTTATTCATTTTTTAAAAAGTTTTATTTATTTTTATTGGAAAGTAAGATATACAGAAAGAAGCAGAGACAGAAAGGAAGATCTTCCACCCATTGATTCACTCCCCAAGAGGGCGCAATGGCCAGAGCTGAGCTGGTGTGAAGCCAGGAGCCAGGAGCCGCCTCTGGGTCTTCCATGTGGGTGCAGGGTCCCAAAGCTTTGGGCCATCCTCAACTGCTTTCCCAGGCCACAAGCAGGGAGCTGGATGGGAAGCAGGGCCTCCAGGAAATGAACCGGCATCCATATGGGATCCCAGTGTGTGCAAGGTAAGGACTTCAGCCACCAGGCTACAGTGCTGCGCCCAGATTTATTTATTTATTTTAATTTAAGAGTCAGAGTTACAGAGGGAAGCGGAAAAAGAGAGAGGAAGACAGAGAGAGAGAGAGAGAGAGAGAGAGAGAGAGATTTCCTGTCTGCTGGTTCACTCTCCAAATGGTGGCAATGGCCAGAGATGGGCCAATCCAAAGTTGGGAACCAGAAGTTTCCTCTGAGTCTCCCATGCGGGTGTAGGGGACTCCAAGGACTGGAGCCATCCTCTGCTGTTTCCCAAGCCATAGGCAGGGAGGTGAAGCTGAAGTAGAGGAGCTGGGACTGGAACTGGTCCCCATATGGGATGCTGGCACTACTACAGGCAGAAACTTAGCCCACTGCACAGGTGCTCTAAGTTTCAGGTGATAAGAGATGAGTCTAAAGAGATGACAGAAAAAGACTTGCTACTAACTTCACATCCTTCCTTGGGAGACTCAAGCTACCCTTTGGTGTCCTTGGCATTCCTTACTGAGCTGTTTTTCAAGCTCAATGAATCCTGATTTTTTTATGGAGAAGTCTGGGCCCAATGATGGGTCCTAAACCCTTCACCCTATGGGGATAGGAGAATAATAATAATAATAATAAAAATCTGTCAAGCGACCATAGGTAGAGCAATGGGCTGGTCTCGAGCTGGTCTCTGCCCCTCTGCCCACAGCTTCACCATACGGGTAGAGTTCAGCTAAGAAATCAGCACAGTTCCAGGAAAAGGTAAACATCATGCAGTTTATTTTTCTCCTGCCTCATCTCACGCCAATCCACAGACTTGAGTGGCGAGCAGGCAACTCTGGGGGAGAGGATCTTCAGAGCAAACAACTCTCTAAGTCCCCCTTTCCCTATGTGAAAACCCACCAGAAGGTTCCCCCTTCCCCCTCTCCCCCCAGCTTGGATCTGCTGTTCATATTCCTGCAATTAAAGCCGGATCTGGCTTTCTGGGGGAGGAGATGGAACTGTATGGCCTACTTAGGAGGGCTAGGGAGTCAAAGGGGCTGCACTCCTCTCCAAGGACACCACTCCCTGTCCTGCTCTTCCTCTGCCTGGGGATGCAGGAAGCTGGCTTTCCTCCCACAAGAGCTCCTGGGGCCCTCTCACTGGCAGCATAACAGCCCAGGCAAGCAGATGCGAAAGCCCTGGACTCCTACACTAGCTAGGTCAAAGAGCTGGAAAGCTGTCACTGGAGGCTCTAGACTCATTCCTTGGGGCCCAGGGAACCTGGCCAGGCATCCCAACTCCTGATCAGACTCTCACTGGCAAGGTGTATCACTTTGGACAGGTCAGCGGCAGGGGAAGCAAGATGAGCCATGGCTCTAGGTGGTGAGGACCCGGGTACCTTCCCACACCCTTCCTGCCCCTTTTCATGGGCCTTTTCTGTCTCTTCTTCTTTGTCATCTTCCTCTTCCTCCTCCTCCGCTTCCTCCTCTTCCTCTTGACTGTCTGAGTCCTCATACAGGTTGATGGTGGCCTGGACAGGGAAGTTGTTCAGTAAAATCTCCCCTACACTGTACAGGTAGTCAAAGGAGCGAGATTTAGGCCAGTAGAGCCTGCGGGCAGAGAAGAAATGTGGTCCCTAACTTAGACAGCTGTCATCTATAGCGAGGCCTCAGGGTCACCAAGGAGGGAGATAGCCCCTCTGAATAGCCATAATAGGGTCAGAGGGAAAGAGAAAAAGGGATTTTTGTCAAACAGTATTCCCTCCCCCATGGCACTGACTCGACCACCTCCCTCCCCACCCGCTAGCCCTGACACCTCACAAGATACTAGACAAGAATTCTCCAACCACATTTCCCTTATCTCCTCACTCACTAACCTGTCCATTGGGGTTCATTCTTACAGGCCATTGGTAATTGGCCCCGGGGAGGCAACTTTGGCCCAGCCCTTTGAACCTCTGGACATCGATGTCCTCATCTGTGACAGCAGGATCACACAGCCACACCTCCCTTGTCCCGCTTCGTGGGTCTTTTGTGAGAATTTTGAGAGTTCCTAGATCTGTGCCAAGGACAGAGTTTGTGGCCAGAAGCTTACCTGACTGGGTGATGGAACCCAGATTCAGCCTTGGTGACCTCAGCGGCTGGTGCCCCATCAGCAGCCTGTCCAAAGTAAAGGCAGCATGTGGAACTCACACAGTGGCTCGATTGGTTAATCCTCCCCTTTCAAGCCACCGGGATCCCATATGGGTACCAATTTGTGTCCCAGCTGTTGCATTTCCCATCTAGCTTCCTGGTTATAGCCTGGGAAAGTAGAATAGGAAGATCCAAAGCTTTGGGACCCTGCACCCATGGGGGAGACAGAAGTAGCTCCTGGCTTCAGATTGACTGACTCAGCTCTGCCCATTATGGCCATTTGGAGAGTGAACCAGTAGATGAAAGATCTTTCCCTCTTTCTCTCCTCTTGGTAAATATACCTTTCCAATAAAAATAAATAAATCTTTGGAGGAGGTGGGGAACAACATGTAACCAAAAGTACAGGGTTACATGAGTGGCTTCATCAGTATCAAAGTTCAGAAACCTACAGGTCAGGTGTTCCAGAAGAAATTTCAAACATTCCTAGGGTCTCGCTGATCCAAAGTATGGAGTCTGTCTTGGCTGTGGTTGAAAAATCAGTGAACAGAGACCTGGGGATTGTTTTTTTCCTTACCCCTAATTCTGACACCTATTTGGAGGCCTTCTTGGAGACAGAGTTCTACTGAAGCAATAGCGAGAATCCAGCGAAATGGGGTGGTTGATGGCAGCAAGGTGCTGAGGCACCTGCCACTAGCAGGGTCTCTACCAACACACTGGCTGTGGGGCCTGCTCCCCTGTCCTTCCCTAACTCAGGGGCCTCTATCTGCTCATTTTTCCCACCTGCCACAGAAACTTCAGGCCTGTTCTCTTCCCGAAGCTGGCGTGAGAGTCAAATGTTGGCAATGATGCATGGTCTTTCTCCCTGGTCTGTGGCTTTGGGAAGGGCAAGAACCTGTGACTGTGTATCATTGAGGCTCAGACTCACCCGCTGCAGTGGCGTCCTCACCTGCTTTGCCGGTTCGCTGGTGGAGGCCAGCCAGGGTCTCCATGGGCAGAGCCCTCTAGGACAAAGAGAAGAGATAAAACAGTGCAGGACAGGAACTGCAACTCAGAGGGTTCCTTGAGAAAACAAAAGAGGCCTTCCAAGAGCCTGGCACCAATTCCATCTGTTCCTTGATGCCTTTGCTAAGGCTCCTGAGCTGAGGCCAGGGAAGATGCCCCTCCTCTCCTCTCGGGTTCCACAATGTTATCATTTCTGTTATCACAGTTCTGTGATTTGGGCTTCTCAAAGCTCAATGACACTTTGATCATATCCGCATTCTCCATGTGCCCGCCTAGCACAATGCCCAGTATACAGTAGGTGTTTCAGCAAACGTTTGAAGGAAAACTGTCCGAAAGCTAACTGTTTGGAGGAGTGCATAAAGGGGTGTGTGCAAGAGATTGCCCCTACGTCCTGTTCCACAAAATTGAGCTCAAGGTCTACTACCCTGAAAAGGAGCCCACTTGCGGCGTCGGTACATTTTCCAAGGTAGGAGCAAAGCAAATAAATGGGACTCTTTGGTGCTCTCAGGAAAAAAAAGACAGCACCCCTGAGTTCTCTTTCCTTTCTCACACCTTCAAAATCCAGGGGCTCTGGAGCCCAGGCTTCCCGGTAATCTCCCTTGTGCCCCTCAGCCCACTCGGCAACCTGGCCCATGTGAAGGCTCGGCTCCTTGACCTTCAACCTTGACAAGTTCCACTACGCCAATTGTCCTCCTGCCCCCACCCCCAGACCCCAGTTGGATCAGCAAAGACATGCAGGAAAGACTGTGAGGCCGCTGTCCTTTCTCTTTCACCCACCACAGGGACACACCCCATTTCCTAGCACTCTCCTGTCACCACCAATTCCCAAATCCCTCATCCTGCCAAAGGACTTACCTTGCACTCTCATGTACTTGTCCAGAGGCCAAAAAGACTGAAGGCCCTAATGGGCCAGGGAGTGTCTGGGAGGCTTGGGCTGACGCTGCTGGAGCTAGGGATAAAGACAATGCTGGCACAGGGGTGGTGCAAGCAGGCGCAATGGGGTCCATCCTTAGAGCTCCAGGCCAGGCAGCTGGGGGCTCTCCTACTTCTTTGAGGTGCTTGCACTCTTCTGGCCTTTCTCAAGAGACCCTCTTATATAAGCCTCTGGCTGCAGGAATCAGTCTGTGAATGCAAGGGTTCAAGGGGGTGGGGGAAGACTTGAGAGGAGGCTGAATATTTAGGGAAAGTGCTCCAGGAGGGAGAGCTAGGTTCTTGGGTGTAAAATCTATCCCAGTTGAATAAACAAAGGTACCAGTGGGGGGGGGGGCGAGAGGTTAGGGGGGCTGGTAAGGAGTTAGTTTTACCTCCAAGTCAGAAAGACAAACACAGAAGGGACAAATTGCACACCATTTGTGTGAATCCCCCTACCCCTCGCCCTGCGCAAAGCACCAAGGGGGAAGGCAGTAGGAGGGTGGAGTTCGCCAGCATCAAAACCACTGTGAGATGGTAGAGGCAGTGGGTCTTGGGAAAGCAAGGCCTTTGCTAAAGTGCCCAGTGAGAAGAGAGAGGAACTCCCATGGGATTCTGATTCTGATCCCAGAGCAAGTTGCCAGGCGACCCCGTCACTGAGCACAACACCATCTAGATTGAAGTAAGGCAGGTGGAGGGGCTGTTGGGGTTAATGGAGGCCCCATGGTCTGTGGGGTGGACCTCAAATATTCTTTGGAGCCCACTGCACACACTCCCAGCAGTCCCTGGCTAGTACATTTGCAGAAGTGCCTGACTCTCCCCACCCCTGCCCCCGTGCTACCAGCATCAGCAGCAGTGATTGGGAAGGAGAGCAGGTGGGATGTCCCAGGGCTTCCAGCAGGGCTCAGAATGCAGATCTCACAGCTCAGCTTGCTATTCCGGAGCCAAGGTGCTTAGGGAGGAGGCAGCGTCGGGCCTGGCACTAAAACTGCTCATAGAGCATCCTGGGTCATTGGCCCCTCATGTGTGAGAAATGAGGGTCCTGGGCCAGTGATCACAAAAGAACCTGGCAGCCTGAACACTCTATGACAGGGGCTGGGTAATGGACACCTGACCCCAGGCCAGCCCAGAAGCTGCAGCACAAGGCCTTGGCCTTGCCCAACTTTCTGGGCCTTTGCCAAAAAGTTTCCAGTTACAACTACTGGCAAATGCCTTATGCTTTAGAAGGCTTGAAACTATTCCTCGTGACCTCAGCGTCCAGGCACCGGCATGGATTTAGCTGCTTGGGTGTTTAGCCCAGCCTGTTTTGTAACTGTCAAAAATTAGAAACAACCTCAATGCTCAATAATAAGACCACAGTCACATAATTAGGATAAATCCTTGCAACCAAATATGAAGCAGGCATTCCCCCTCCCATCATGAACAACTCTCCACACAGAAAATGAGACAACAAACAGATGCTAAAATCCACTGACGGATGGGATTCAAGGCCTCTTTTTTCCTTGCTTAACTCCCATCAGCAAGCACTCTGAGTCTTCAGACTCCAGCTTCACTGTGTTCTTTGTGGCAAAGACAAACTGGCAAACAAAAGTAAATGCCCCACTTGAAAAAGCTAGCTCAATCGATCATGGCCAAGTTGCACTACTTCAGATGAAGATTGGCACAGTAGAAGAAGGAAGGGGGGAGCAATGAGGATGCTGCTGGAGTGCAGACCATCAGGTTCCAGAACATGATTTAGGGAATGATCCCATTTTGGTGAGAAGAAAAGTGTGGGATATTCCGTAGGCAGAGGACAAAGGACTGGGTGGGAGGGGAGACTTGCAGGCATTGGGGCAGAGGTGAATAAGGAAAGATTTTCACTTCCTTCTTGATGCTTCCTGATATTTCCAAACTGTGACACACTGAACTGAGCTTTCAAAGTGGAGACATGCAAAAAAATTTTTTTAAAGAAATGCAGAAATTATAAGTCCCATGGGCGGGAATTGTCATGGAATATGACAGTGAGTAGCATAAGCTAGCTGAGGGATGGGCTACTGTGAGATTCCACTGTTCTGCGTGGCTTCCAAAGGCATACTGAGGCCCATGGGTGTAAGCTACACAGAGACACATTTTGGTCCCATCAAACAACAAGTTTCCAATGGCTTGGCTGCCACCCAACTCAGGTGCTGCCTTGGATTGGGGTGAGCATTGTGTCTTCTTTTAAAAATATTTTATTTTTATTTGGAAGGCAGAATTACAGAGAGAGAGGGGAGAGAGGACAGAGCTCTTTGATTTGTGGGTTCACTCCCCAAATGGCTGCAGCAACTAGAGCTGAGCCACTCTGAAGCCAAGAGCCAGGAGCATTCTCTGGGTCTCCCACACAGGTCCAGGTCCCCAACGTGTTGGGCTGACCTCTACTGCTTTCCCAGGCCACAAGCAGGAAGCTGGATCAGAAGTGGAACAGCCAGAATTAGAACTTGTGCCATTTGTGATGCTAGTCCCACAGGCAGAGGCGTGGCCTGCTATAACAGGGTGCCTGTCCCCGGATGGTCAAAGTGTGGGCTGGATCCTGGATCCTGAAGAGGGGTGTGGGTGAGACAGGGAGGTCCTGTGGGTGGCTGCAGCTTCCATTAGTCACAGAGTATTCCTATATCGTTTGCCTTCAGAAAGTGAGCCCTGTGTTTCAATGGTATCACTTGCTACAGTGAGAAGCAAGTGTGTGGGGAGGAGACAGGGATGAGGGGACCAAGCTGCCAAGGGAAGCACAAGACCCCTTGTCCCACCCCCTACATGGCCTCTGGAAAACAGGTGTGAGCACGGAGGGAAAGGAGCTCAGTCATACCAGCCACCATGGCTGCATCTCACCTTCAACTGGTGTCCTTTCAACCACTTTTTTGTGCTGCAGCTGGCCAGTCCCTTCCCTCCCCTGAGCTCCAGGCCTTGGGTCTCCCTGAAAGCCACTTTACAGGGCCTGTCTCCTGAGTGCTTGGACTGGATCCTGCTCCTGCTTAAGCCATGGCGCCACTTACTATTCTTTCCTGGCAGCTACAGTTTCTGTTGTCAGGCCAAAGTGGAAGCCTGGTTATTCTTCTCTGCACGTTCTCTTACTTAAATTTATTTTATTTTAACTGAAAGGCAGATTTACAGAGAGAAAAGGAAGAGAAGTCCTCTGTCTGCTGGTTCACTCTCCAAATGGAAGCAACAGACAGGGTTCGGCCAGGCTGAAATCAGGATCCAGGAACTTTATTTGGGCCTCCCATATTGGTGCAGGGTTCCAAGCACTTGGGCCGTACTCTGCTGCTTTCTCAGGCCTCAGGCAGGGAGCTGGATGGGGAAGCAGACAAAAAACAGGTGTCCATATGGGATGCTGGTGCTGTATGTAGGTGGAGGATTAACCTCATATGCCATGACACCAGCCCTTCTCCTATGCACTTTTAGAACAGAAGGAAGCGGGTCATCAAGAGAGCAAGAAAGATCTGGAATGACCAAGATGGAGAACTTCTCAGAAGCAGGGCAATGAACATCTCGTGCCTATTTCTCCTAATTGCATTAGACGTCTAGGTTTTGCTCAGTGATTGCTTTATTAGACCTTTCTGAGTGAGGCCTGGGAGCCTCCTCTTCCTGGGAGGGATCTGGCCATTTGGACAGAGGAACCTGTCTGAAGGTACTCGCAGCTCATGGTGGGAGACAGCACCTGCAGGGGAAGACTGCTTCTCTTAACCCTGGCTGGGTTCTGTCGCCTTTAGCCCTCCTTGAGAAGGTTCCTTTGTTGAAGGCTCCAGCTGCAGCCTCCACAGCTCCCCGGGTCACATTCCAAACTTCTTTCAGTTCCCTACCATGTCTCTGGCCCGCCTCTCTCCTTGCTCCAAACAACCTCTCTTCTTACTTCCTTGAGAAAACATAGGCCTTCAAGCATGGATTACCTCAGTGCCCTGCCCCCCTCCTCACCAACACCCTCTTATCCCCTTCTACCCAACCCCCTCCAAAAAAAAAAAAATCCTGGCCTGCCACTCCAACTTCCTTCCCCTCCTGCCCTCCCTCCTCAGGGGACAAAGTGCCCCTTTGGTTAAAGGCTAATCCCTGGGTCTGGGCCGTGGCGTCATGCACCCTCCTCCTCCTTCAGACCTTCCCCAGAAGTTCTGCTCTCCCTTCAGGAACACACTGTCCACCAGCTCTGGCCCTTTGCATCCAAATTTTCTAATTATGAGCTAATTTTCTCATTATGAAATAAGATGTATAAAATGATCTGTTACTGCCCCACTCACTCTTCCTCTAAAAACTTTCTTTACCCCTTGAAGTTGCCGTCTTTCTCCTCCTCCTCCTCCTTCCTCTTCTTCTTTTTCTCCTTCTCATGCTCCCTCTTTTCTTTTTCTCTCTCAGCTTTATTTATTTTTATTTGAAAGCCAGAGTTATAGAGAGGGAAGACAGAGGTTTTCCACCTTCTGGTTCACTTCCCCAAATGGCTGAAACAGCTGGAGCTAAGCTGATCTGAAGCCAGGAGCTTCTACTGAGTCTCCCACACAGGTGCAAGGGCCCAGGGACTTGGGACATCCTCTACTGCTTTCCCACGCCACAGGCAAAGAGCTGAGTGGGAAGTAAAGGAGTCGGGACTTGAACCTGTGCCCATATGGCATATGGCATATGGCACCTGCTCCCTTTCTCTATATTTCCTCACCTTTGTTGATCTCACTCCTAGATCTCCACTTCTTGGAGCTTCCCATTGACACCTCAACCAAGTGTAACTTGACCCCAGCCCCAATTACTGCAGTGAAAGGGTTCACCAATGACCTCTGCATTGCCACATCAGATGACCTCTTAGAACTCTGGGTGGCGAAAGACAGAGTCAGCCAAGTGCTCATTTCTGAAACTCCCCTTTCCCTGCCAGTCTCCAGGGTCACTCTCTGCTGATTGCTCCACTGCCCCTGGGACCACCCCTCCCAGTCCCTTCTGCCAATCCCTCTTCTGTTGCCCATTCCTTATACTGGCGATTCTCAAGTGACTGTCTGTAGGTCTGGCTTAGGCACCGTGGAGTTTTCCACAGAGCACTGCAAAGCTGGGAGAGTTGTTCAGTCACCTAAATGCTGTGTTCAGTTCACTGTCTCCTATTTGGAGAGGCAAATGTGCTTTATCTTTTTCTCCATGATAATGGGTGGGAGGTTAAGATGCCT